GCAAAGTTACGATTGGCCAACCATTGGATTTTCAAAATTTTGGGCAATTTTAGGGGTTTTCTCTCACTTGATGTAGGGATGTCCTAATCAACAAAAACTCTTTGATTTTTGTGAATTTTTTTTATAATTGAATATATAGCATGCTTCATTGTGCTTAACTCCTGAAAGAAAAGAAAAAAAAAATCATTTTATTGTTGTCAATGATTTGTATATTTATATAAAATTCTATGTCTAGGTGATGTATGTGTATGTGGTTTGTAAACTTGATGTGAGAAGCATGCTTATGTGAATTTATTTCATAGATTATGTGATTAACATGCTAAATTATTGTTACATGGAAGTACGATATGTTCTTCGTATTATTTGTAGAACATGTTAGGTGGTTAAGTTTGAATTAGAAGCATGATAATGAATATTGATATGGCATGAAAAGGCATGATACATTCATGCATAAGCATCGGGAAGAAATGGGAAAAATGATTTTAAAGAAAATGAAAAAGGTTTTGGGAAAAAGTTTTGAAAGGGTTTGCGAAAACTCGGCCGCCTAGGAGTTGCCTAAGGACCGTGGCGTTAGTGTGGCCTAGAGGGAATTGGAGAGATTGCCCTAGCATGGTTGAGTTACCTGGCCCCAAATGACGCCATGGAGTCACCATGGGTCTGTACAATTAGCCAATCCTTCTCTCGTGCCACCATGGAGTTGCCATGGGACGGATTACACTAACGGTTTAGAAATGATGACGGAAAAGGTTTTGGAAATGGGGAGCGATATTGCATAACATTACATTCCATAGCATGGCATGGTTCGTTTATAACTTAGATTATTGTTGTTGATGTTGTGGCTATATTTTTTTCCGAAAATGGCATGATCCCGGTTCTTTTTCCTATTCCTCGTTTGGATTCACGGGGTCACAAGAGGTGTGTCTTAGGCACCTCATACTGAGTCATTGTGCTCACCCATTTATTATTAATATGTTTCAGGACACAAAAAGGAGGTAGCAGACGACCATCCACCACAAGTTTAGACGGGATTGGAGATTTATATTTTGCTATTTTTTTTTAGAACTTTAATATTTTGTAAATGTAAATCTTGACTATTCTGTAAAACTTTAGTATAATTTGCATAATGTCGTAAATTATGAACTTTTGATTTCAGCTCTATTTCATGAACTATAAATTGATGTAATTAGAGTATGTTCCTTGTAAAGGAGTATGTAAATCTTGACTATTCTGTAAAACTTTAGTATAATTTGTATAATGTCGTAAATTATGGACTTTTGATTTCAGCTCTATTTCATGAACTATAAATTGATGTAATTAGAGTATGTTCTTTGTAAAGGAGTATGGGACTAGGTAGTAAACTGGTGCTTCCATGTTTTTTAAGGAATTGGAGGAATGGGACTCTTTTATATGTCTGTTGTTGTTTTAGGAATGTTTTATATTATTTGCATTGTGGATTGGGAAATGATAGATTAGTTTGAGGCCATTACATTTTTTTTTATACAGTTCAACAGGTTATAGAGGGACTTTTTCTGCAGAGATCGTGCCGAAATTTTATATATTAGTATTATTATTATTATTATTATTATTATTATTATTTTGGTATCTTTTTGGGTCGTTACAGAGATGAAAATTGAGATTCTTCTCCAACAAATTGTAAGAAATTATCAAAATTGTCATTTTATTAGTTAAATTGGGAGTTGTAGTTGTAATATGGTGGTGGAGGATCCATGGAATTGAACTTGAGTAAAAAAATATAACTAAAAGATTGAGAAAATGACTTAGTGGTTGTAGTTGTAGGTTGAAGAGTAGAGAATATAGATGGGTTGGATATGAGGTGAATAATAGTACGGGTTGATGTATTTATAGAGACAAAAAAATAATAATAATAAAATAAAAAACCAAAATACCAAAAAATCAAAAAATATGCTTTTGTGCCAATATAGCTGTTAAGGCACTATTTAGGTCAGCCAAACAGTGCCTAAAATGGCTATAATGTCGATAAGAATATTGAAATTTTTAAAAAGGAAAAAAAAAAATCACTTTTCTCCATTTTTTAAAAAACTTTTTTGGTCCAAAAAAAGCCTTTAAGGCACTGTTAGGCTGAACAGTGCCTTACGACTCTTTGGTTCAGTTATTTTAAGGGACAAATAAAAGAGACCAAAATAACCCAAAAACTTGATTTTTGGGTATTATTTCAGCTAAACATGCCCTTAAAAACAGTACTCTGGGCTAATACAGTAAGTTAGGCCACAATTAAAATATATATATATATATAGGCGGGCCCGCATGGCAGGCCGCACTCACTAACAAGGTCGTCGTTTCCTCGATCCACATGACGTGGCCCAATTTTGATGACCCACAATGGAACAGATTGGGTCACCAAAAATAAACCCAAATCGCCAAACAGGCCACCATTGGACTTGCTTTAACAATAACTATGAATTATGAAGAGAAAAGACTAAGAATAATGCTACTGAGCACACCAATAAGCCAAACAAGTCAACAAAAAACTGCCGGAGACACGACAAAGGCGAGGACAATGCTGCCGAACACACCGGCAGACTAAACAAGTTGATCAAAACTGCCGATGACACAGTAAAGACGAAGACAATGCTACCGAACACACTGACAGCCTAAACAAGTCAACAAAACACTGTCGGAGACACGACAAAGGCGAGGACAATGCTACCGAATACACCTGCAGCCCAAACAACTCATTCAAAACTGTTGAACAACTCAAAGACACGACAAATACAAAGAACATTACTGCCGAACAAACCGGTAATCCAAACAAGTCACAAATAATACCGAAAAACCCTTAGCAACATTTCAAATGCTAAGAGAATATTCCAAAATAGGGATCCGAACCTAAGAAGAGAAATTAAGCTTTGATATCATATTATAAAGCATAAAACAAAAGCGAATAGGTAAATAAACGAGTATAACACATAGATATTACGTGGCTCAGCCACTAGGGCATACATCCACGGCACAAAGAACCGGCTACATCACTTTTATAATTCTTTCTCAATTTATACACAATACAATGGTGGAGGCTCCTTTATATAGGAAAAGAAATTAGGAGAATGGAAAGAATTATAAAATAGGAAACAAGGAGGATTTTTCTCCATTGATTCCTCTAGTAACACAAAATCTTCAGCAATAGGAAACAACATCATTACTGAAAGATTTTTCTTCACTGATTCCTCCATTAAATTTTCAATATATTATAAAGCATGAAACGAAAGCAAAGAAATAAATAAGTAGAACACATAGATATAATGAAGTTTAGCCAATGGGCCTACATCCACAGCACAAAAAGCCTAAAGGGCTATACTAATTTTATAATACTCTCTCAATTCATACACAGGAGAATGGAAAAAATTATAAAATAGAAAACGAGAAAGATTTTCCTCCGCTAATTCTTCCATTAATACTTCAATAATATGTGTGTGTTAATGTTTAGGGTTCTTTGTACAGAGAGAATTCCCCCAAAAATATATCGTCTCTCTCTCTCTCTCTCTCTCTCTCTCTCTCAACATAGTTTTAGAGCACGGATTTCCTTTTCTGATCAAAACCCTAGTTCGCTGTCTCTAAGAGAGTTTTGTAGTAGCTGTGTTGGTGTACTCTTCGTCGTCCTTGCATAGGAAGAGCAGTTGATCATCTTCCCTACTTGTTACAAGTGTATTCGTCACTATCCTCTTGATCGTCACTGTATATTAATTGATCCTTTTTGGGTGTCATTGGTGGCTGGAATTTGTTGCTGGTGTTTAGTAAATAACCCCTGCTACCATTACGGATCGTGTTGGAATGCAAATTACTACTGTCAAATTAAGTAACACCAATTACTTGCTATGGGCTCAGGCTGTGAAGATATCCTTAGGAACTCGAAGGAAATTAAAATATATCAAGAATGATCTTCTGTCCAAAACTGATAAAGGGTATGAAAATTGGGAAATTGAGAATTACATGGATATGTCTTGGCCATGGTTCTTTTCCATTGCCAAGGAAATATGGGATGTTGTTCAAGAAACTTATTCTATGGAAAAAGAAAAAAAGGTTTCGAGAATCTACTCTTTGTATGAGAAGATGTTTCTTTTTCGACAGTCGGGGAAGGGTATAGGTGAATATTATAGTGCTTTGAAAGGATTGTTGGATGAATTAACTCAATACCACCCACTGACTACTGATCGTGAGGTACCGGAACGGCAATGGGAAGAATTTTATGTCTCTATTTTTCTTGCTGGTTTAGATGTTGATCTCCATCATATTCGCAATCAAATTCATGCTAGTGATGGAGGACTCCCATCTTTGGGTAATGTTAATGCACGAATCTTTGGGTAATGTTAATGCTCGATTACTTGGAGTTGCTAAATCATCGTCTTCAAAATCAGTTGGAAAAGAAAATTCAGCTTTGTTGACCTGGTCTGGGATTCAAAATTCTACAAGGGGTCGTGGTAATTCCTCAAAGAACATGGATATTGTTGGGTTCACAGATGCTAACTGGGCTGTAAGCCAAATGGATAGGAGGTCTACATCTGGGTATTGCACGCTTGCGGGAGGTAATTTGGTAACATGGAAAAGTAATAAGCAAAATGCTGTGACAAGATCGAGTGCAGAGGTAGAATATATAGAGCGATGGCGCATACAACTTACGAAATGATGTGGGTGAAATCTCTTTTACAAGAATTGGGTTTTTCAAACAACATGCCTATGAGAATGATTTGCAATAATCAGGCTGCTATGTACATTCCTAGCAATCTGGTGTTTCATGAGAGAACTAAACATATCGAAGTAGATTGTCATATTGTGAGAGACTTGGTGATGAGTAAAAGGATAGTTACTACTTATGTGAGATCCAAAGATCAATTAGGAGATGTCTTTACCAAGGCATTGGGGAAATCTCATTTTTCAGATTGCGCTTCTCAAACACTTTCAGCTGCATAATTCATTAACTCAACTTGCAAAAGTCAACAAGTAGAAAAGATCAAAGAACAAAAGGACCAAAACATTTCTTGTATAAACATTATCAGTACTTGCCTCCCAGTTAGGGTATTGCAGAAACATGTGAAGGAAGACATGACCAAAAAAACAAAAACAAAAAAAAAAACATAAACAAATAAGAACTGATGCAGGCATCCTGAGATCTGAAAATGGAAAGCACAGTTGCACAAATTGAAATGGCTATTTCAAGGGTAACTCACAACTACATGCTGATTTATATGTCTTTAGTCTCGGCACCAGTGAATTACATCTCTAGAATATATCATCTCCTCAGACTGTGTATGATTGCTGAATTGTTTCTATATCGAGACCCTTCAATCTTACCACCGATTCTACGTGACCTTTCAGTGTGGTTAGTTCTCTCAACCTGCAGCAAGCCATGCAAACAAAATGTATCATGAAAATAGATTTCTAGTTTATATGCCAACAAAACCCAAAGGGGCCATAACCAAACACCACGAATGCAAAATGCATGTAGTAGTAATACTATACTAGAGGTGGCCTAAACAAAGTTGGGAAGAATCAAAACCTCTAGTGACAACAATAACACAATCTAATTAAATTTGGCTGAGTAGACAGAACAAAGCCAAGGCCTCACCAATAGAGCAAAAAGGAACTACACCCATTGAACATTTTTTTATTCCTATGCTGAATATGACTCTAGGTCATCATTGAGTTATAATTGAGTAATATCGCGATTAAGGCATGGAAAATCTGATTTAGTAATTGAATCAACTCTTTGCTAAAGATTAGTGCACACCTTGCTATTTCAGCTCTCCTTTTGGCTTCCTCAGCCATCTGATTAAGCTCAGTGAAGTTAGTTTTGTCACTAAACATTTTGGGGTCGGGTACGTCCAGCCCATGAAGAGTTCTTTGAGCATGTGCCCACTTAAGTTCTCGTTGTTCCTTCCCAAAATCCTTTTGCCTAGTGAAGGCAATCTGCAAACGAATAATTTATTAGAAGGGGGGAAAGTTGAGTAAAATAAGAGTTCTTTTTGGTGTTTGAGAAATAAAATGCCATCCACAATTCCCAGGCCATCCAATCAGTGTCATTCATACCCTTTGCTCGAGAACAAGATCCCATGCCCTCCCACTAAGAGCATAGCGAATAAAGAACTTTATAAAATCAAGCGGGAAGTAGAAGATGATATTGAAAAGCCAAATCACACCAGCCCAGCCCCATCCAATTCCTTCAATTGCAGCAAAGCTCCAGTTTGCATAAACCGCAATCAAAGTAGCAATCTGAACACTTGAAAATAAAGATTATGCAGCTAAAAATAAAAAATAAAAGGTAGAAAGATTAATGTTTTATCTATAGTACTTGAAAGGAACTTGCAGTAGATCAGAAATGACTCACCAATTGAGCAACCACAAAAGCCACCACAAGCAACAACCCAGGACGCTCAACGAAGGACCAACTTCGAGATCGTGTAACAAATATGAGAGCCTGACTGATGGTGCTCACTTGAAGATATACAGCTGAAGCAAGCTTTCTGAAGTCGTCGTGAGCTGTTTTCTCCAGAGTTGGCACTCCAAATACCCGCTGGAAAATTACCAGGAGAATGGATCAACTAAAAATTAACTCATCACTAACACTAAACACATAAAACAAGTGAATGCATGTGGATCTGATAAGCAAAAAAAATTTCTTGATAACAGACAAACACAAGCAGAAGATAATTGCAGGTACGACCAGCTGCATAGATTTTGCTATATAGTATCATGAAAACCAGGTATTGCATGTTCTTCTTCAATGTCAAATAATAATAACAATAATAATAAGACACGACAGATTTCATTAGAACCAAATCGACCACTAAAACAATTTTTTTCAAAATAGAATAATACAATTTCAAAAAGAAGAAGAAAACACATGAGAAGTCCTTAGAACCAAATCGACAACTAAAACTAAACTTTTAAAATACAATACAATTTCAAAAGGTTTATACTCAAAGACGCATCTTTAATGCAAATCTTCATTACCAACTATAATGAATACAGGCATGCTTACAGGGAAAAAGTTTGTTTTGTATGCCGCCCAAAAAAATATGACTGTCATCATTGCCAAGTAACTACCAAGAACGATGCCAGTTGTGAAAATTTCAGCCAGCTTCCAGCTGTCAGGTAGCGGAGATGGTTTCACCCTATCCTTTGATATAGTCATGATGGTACCTGACATGTCAAAGGTGGTAGAGATATGCCAAGAAAACACCTACTAAGTCATCCCAGAATTCAACATAAAACAACTAGAGGAAATAAAATAGTGATTATCTGATCATTGAGTCTACTCAATCTCTGAAGTTATAATAAACTTTGTCAAGTCAAGTAAACTCATAAATGATCTCAGTAGGGCAATATAATAGTGGATGGAATTTTAATAATGCCAATGAAATTAATGAACATGCATAGTGAGAAAAATAGGAAAATGCGATTCAGTGTGTCTGCTTTCAGTGCTTCAGTTATCACATAATCATTTCTTAAGTGTAAGAAATCAGATATATATACTGGGATTCAGTATGTCTGTGCATCTGAGAGAGAGATGTTCTATGTCAGAGAAGGAAGAACAAACCATCATTTAGGATTGCAATGATAAGCACCATAAATGGTGGAAAATCAAACTTCCATATCAGGGCCAGCAGCATGAAACCAAGCTGTTAAAACACGCAGAACATGGTAAAAGAGTTTATAAGAAAATGCACTCCAAGCCATTGAATACTAGTGAGACATGAATAAAATGTACAAAAATTAGCAGCACAACACACCACCTACATAACAAAATCTCCCAAAGCAACCACAATAGAACTTACCACAATACGAATTGTAATAGAAACAGCATAAATCTGGCAAAAAGGAGAACAAGTGAGTGAATCATCTGATGAAATTCAAGAATACCAACAATAAGGGCGCATAACCTCACACATAATAGTAATATAGTTATTCTGAAAATTAAAAGCTCAATAAAATATAATTTGCTGAGACTGAAGTGAAAATAGTCAAATTTAATACTGCATTATCATCGGCACCCATGCTTACAGTGTAATTTTTCATCCTCTGAAATATAGCTCGACTTGTCAAAACAGCACTAATGATAACACTAAGGCCAGGTTCAGTAAGGACAATGTCAGAAGCACTACGAGCTGCATCAGTTGCATCAGCAACAGCAATCCCAATGTCAGCCTTCTTCAGAGCAGGAGCATCATTAACTCCATCACCAGTCATTCCACAGATATGTTTCCTTGCTTGCAAGCGCTTTACTATCTCGTATTTGTGCTCTGAACCAACAACCATGATAGGTCAATCAATTTAACCAACAAGCAATGGAAAGAACGCAATTTGGTGCAAAGATTGAATCTCAGGCATATGTCAATTCCAAGGAAAGAGAATATAATCAAACATAAGAATAACATACCAGGGAAAACACCAGCAAAACCATCTGCTTTCTCTATGAGCTCATCAATTGGTAAAGCAGCAATAGACTCGTCCTTGTTCTGACCCAGCAAAGCAGATGAAGGATACATGTTGGTTCCCATTCCCAGGCGGCGCCCAGTTTCCTTTCCTATTGCAAGTTGATCCCCTGATAGGATTTTCAATGTTCAGACATCCAGACATAAATCTGAGAACTGAAAGCTCGTAGAACTAATTCTGAAGAGAGACAAGAAAAAACTGGCACAAATATTGTATAATACAATACACAAGGGAAAATTTACAATAATCCAAACTATAACATTACAAATTTTATCCACTAAATTAAGGTATTCATGTTCTCTTTGCTTAAAAGGGAGGAAAATATTTCATTATTAGTCATAAATCCGTGTAACGACGTCCATCCCTCTTGATACTTTTTTCAAGGTCATTGCGACCAAGTTTTCTCAAAAGAAGGAGCATCAAGTTCCCAATACCTCAATTCAACAAAGCCTTTTAGCCAACTTCTTGGGGTTGGCTAACCATTTTTCCATTCCTCCCTATCTAAGGCCATTAATCTATCCTGTTTTGGTTTTATGATTAACATTATCTCCAATTTCTCCTTCATTATGAATAATTGAGCCTAAATAACTGATGTTCATTGTTTTTGTACCCCTTGATCCTTAATCTTCACTACATCCTTTATGTATTTCTAGATTTACTAAAGTTAGACTCATATATTTACTTAAGTTATCTTAAACCCTTTTAATTTTAGAGCTCTCCTCCAAGCTCCCAATTTTAGCACTTAATTCTCCAGTTTCATCAATTAAAAAATATCCTCAGTAAATAACACACACCATGAAATTTCATCCTGAATTTTCCAGTTCATCCATAAGTAAGGCAAAAAGATACGGGCTTAATGTTGATTCTTGATATAAGCCTATGGTAAGAATTCATTTGTTTCCCCATAGTCGTTTTAACTATAGTAACACATCCATCATACATGTCCAAGTTTCCGATACCCCAACCAATAAATTTCTGAAGAGAACAAATAACATAGAGCACATATTATAATCACAAGAAGAAAAAAAAAAAAAATCAGTTTACTTAGTTCTCTAAATTTTAGTGCAGGTCTAAGTTATACATAAGGAGGATCCTAGTTTTACTAAAATATGCCTGAAAGTAAAAAATAAAACTTAAGAACACAAAACATAGTGCACCTGTAATCATTTTAACATTTACTCCTAGATTTAAAGCCCTTCGAATTGTCTCCGCACTGTCATGCCTGGGCGGGTCAAAGAGAGGCATGAGACCAATGAACTGCCATGGGCCTCCAGAACTCTCTTTCCTTCCATCTGGGACTTCCTGTATTAAAATTGAAAAAAAAAAAGAGTAAATTGAAATATATTTTCGTTATACAACTTATATGATGAATTAGGGGATCATGAATGAGTGGAAGTGGAACAGTAATTTAGTTACCTGGTATGCTACAGCAAGTGATCGCAAACCTCGCTCTGCAAACTTATCAATCACAGAATGAACCCTGTGCTCTATTTCTGACTTATTGCGTGCAAGATTTAGAATCTAAAAGCCATATTGAAGGAGCAGGAATTAGATAAATAATTCAAACAAAAGATGAAGCCAATTACATAAGCTTGTGAGAATGATACCTGTTCAGGTGCACCTTTGCTAACCCTATGCATTTTGCCTTCGCTGTCAAAATAAGTCAACGCTGTTCGCTTATCGGTAGGATTGAAGGGAAGGAAATGCACCTCTCGAACGCCAGCACGTGCCTGTCAAAAGTGATAATTACCAAAGGAAGCAGCAGCGGAAGCATTAACACCAATTAGATGTCAAAGATAAAATAATTCTGTAATATCAATTACCTCCTTTGGATCAGCCAGCATCCCAACTATGGCAGCATCTATAGCATCCTGGTTTTCTACACGGGAGGCTCGAGCCGCCATCAGAACAACAGTGTCGGCATCTATTCCTTTGGTAAAAACCTGAGAAGATATATTCAGGCACACAGAATTAGAGTTGTAATCATTAACAGAAACAGATGCACATATATTGATATAATCAGCAAAGAGTGGCACAGCCTTGCTAACCTCAATAAGGTTCTTGTCAACAGTAAGCTTGTTCAATGTCAGAGTTCCAGTCTTGTCACTGCAAAGAACATCCATTCCTGCCATCTCTTCTATTGCTGTCATTCTCTTTGTAATAGCTCCCTGAAGTCATTGTTCAAATGTGACATCATATATTCAGAAAACCTCAAACCATAGTCAGTGGAAACACCAAGTCAACCTAGCCAACCTGCTGAGCTAAGCGATGAGAACCAATAGCCATTGTCACTGATAGCACTGTGGGCATGGCAATTGGAATTCCTCCAATTAGAAGCACAAGAAGATTGTCAATCCCGGGGCGATATTTTCGGTCTTGAATGGGGTACATCACAATAAGCTCTATTATCATCCCCACGGCAATAGAACAAATGCAAAAATTTCCAATTGCGGTCAAGACCTAAAACAATCAAGACAATAACAAAGTCAAATAAAAACTGGGACTGAAAATAACATAGCAATTCCAGAGAAAATGCTACACAATTTTACTCCCTTGCCTTTTGAAAGTGGCCCACTTGGTTAGTAGAATCAACAAGATGAGCAGCCTTTCCAAAGAAGGTGTGAACCCCGGTGGCAATGACCACAGCTTCAATCTCTCCCTGTTTGCAAGTAGAACCAGAGTAAACACCATCTCCAGGGCCTTTTGTAACAGGAAGGGACTCGCCCGTGAGAGCAGACTGCAAAAGCCCAAACAAGACACAATTTCAGTAACATAGTCAAAACTTGAACAATCTAATGTGAAAATACCTTCCACCAAGTAAAGAAAATATAGCTTGCAGAGCAAAGGTTAAAGCAACCCACCTGGTCAATTTTCAACGGATCACCTTCAAGAAGCCGAGCATCTGCAGGAATTATATCTCCGAGTTTTACACTAATTACGTCCCCAGGCACTAAAATAGCAGCATCTTCCTCACTCCACCTTCCATCTCGAAGAACCTTCATAAAAATAAAATTTTAAAAAAAACCAACTTAAATCCTCAGGCATGTATGCTAGAAAATTAAACAGAACTATTTATTCAATTTCCCACTCCTTCATTAAATCATCAAAATCCATAATATAGGCAAACAAATGATATGGGATGACTTAATTATATTTAACACCTTGGCTTTTGGAGCGAGGCGAGCCATGAGAGCAGCCGCTGCATTGCCAGCATTGTTCTCCTCAATGAAACTAATTGTTGAGTTAATCACAAGCAAGGTAATGATACCCACAAAATCTTGCCAATCAGGAGGCTTTCCCTGCAAAATTAGATAAAAAATTAGTACTTAAATAATGCAATAAATTACCAAGAAACGAAATTCTCTCTAAAGACAATTGCTGTATGAATCTACAAGAAAAATTCTTACTCCTCCATTGGCAAGGGCAATCGCCATGATAGCAGCAGCTTCCATAACCCATGACAGAGGGTTCCACATAAACCCCAAAAACTTCAAGAATTTGCTCTCCTGAAAAACACCCAACAGATGAAATGTTTTGGAGACAAAAGGATTAAGATCAGAATTACACTTCCATAACCCATTACAAAGAGCTCCACATAAACATCAAAAACTTCAAGATTTTACCCTCCTGTAACAGACCCAAAAGATGAAATTTTGTAGGGACAATAGGGCTAAGATCACAATTTTAGTTCAGAGGGACTGGAACTCTGTGTGTGTGTGTGTGTGTGTGTGTGTGAGAGAGAGAGAGAGAGAGAGAGAGAGGGTCATCATTACAGAAGATGAACTGTTGGATAAGGCAAAATTGTTAACATCAGAATTACATTTCAAACGAGGCAGAAGATTGGAAATGTAAAAGAGGAAAAAAAAAAAAACATTACCCTCTTCTCCTCAAGCTTGTTGTGGCCAAAAAGCTCTAATCTCTGTTCAGCAGCCTCACTAGTGAGGCCCTCTCTGCTACATCTCAAATTCTCAAAAACTTCTTCAACAGGTATGTTTTCCTGCACTCACAGAACACAAAATCCATCAACCAAAATGAAACAAATCAAACAAGTTCACACACAAAACCAACAAAAAGAAAACATCAGCTCTCAGATCCATTACCAAATCCACTGCCTCCTTCAAAACAGCCTCCAGAACTTCAGGTTTCTCTGCCATCTTCCTCTCTTTCTCTCACTAATTCTCTCACTCTATCTCTCTAAAAACAATTATATATTAATAACCCATTAAAGAACCACCATGAACAAACCACGAAAGCAACAGAAACTTGTAATCTACAAGAAACTCCAAAGACTAGACTACCCAAGTACCCATTAATAATAGAGACCCGATTTTGAAGATGAATCTGGATTTGTAGACCACAATGAGGACGACCCACCAATGACCAACTCCAAATCTACTCAAGAGGTTAAACAGACACAGATGAAAGAGTTCAGTAAAAGTTATGTAGTCCACATTTGTATTTTCTATTTATTTTGGGTACAATATCCAAAACCTCTCTATTTTCAAAATCTCAGCAAACTATCCAATCCAATCCAAGTGTGCCATTTTTTTTTCGAAAATTTATTTTGACAATCCAAGTGTGACATACATACGTCCTTGTGTTTTCTTCTTTTTTTTTTGGATTGAAAGCCACTTTAAGATTTTAAACAGCTTTTCAGAAATTCTTCTTTATCCTTTTCAAATTTTCAGAGCTGCTTTGTATGTCTGTGTGGTTTTTTTTTTTTTTTTTTTTTTTGATGAGACCAACCAAAAGCTTACTATGACCATACAGCCCACATGGACCAGCGCACATGGACCTCACTCCTCCTCAAGCCTGGTTCATAATCACCTTTCCGTGCACGTACGTATATATATATATATATATACCCAAGTCTCAAATTAAATGTTTATCAGTTTTTTTTTTTTTTTTTTTTTTTTTTGTGTAACATTATTAATTTATCCTTTATATTAAACTTTTAAAAAGTTAATCATCTCATCGTCTAAATTCACTATGAACATATTTAATAATTTATTTATTATTAATATTATAAAAAAAAATTATAACTCATTTTTTTAAAAAGTTAAATTTAAAAAATATATATATTTAATTTGAGACGAATGAGTGGTGTATATCAATATATATATATACACACACACATACATACCAGCAAATGGCAAAAAAAAAAAAAAAAAAAAAAAAAAAAAAACTTCTCTCAACAGTCCGGTCAGTTTTGATGACATGCTTCCTCTGATTTTATTTATTTATTTATTTATTTTTGTTCGCAAAAAACGGTTTATTCATTTTGAGATTGCTGCAATAAAACCTCTTTGTTGCATAACTGTTAAATAAATGACCAAAAACGTTGCACTTGACATCAAAAAAGCATGATGCGACGGTTTTGCTCTTAGGCAATTTTAAGTCTTGTAATATTTGGATTAACCTAGCCCTAAATATAACGAAGGCTTCATTCAACGAGAAAAAATTAAAAAAAAAAAAACAAAAAATTAGAGTCGCAAATTAAGCCACACAATCTTTTTTAATAGGTGTTGCTTCCACAATTTAGAAGAACTCTCGCTTTTTATTGTTTATTACTTAATTGTGCCTAATTATGCCGCTCTCACGCTCTGACTCTCAAATTCACTCCCGCTCCCACTCAAGCTCAATGTTATTTTGAATCTTCAATTTTAGAAAATTTAATAGAATGGATATTTTGTATTTCTAACGAATGAGGTATTAGGAAGAAAAAAAACTAATAAGGATATTTTAGTAAATTTTAGGTGCCTTGAAAATCATGCAGACGACTTGGTCTTAGGTTTTTTTTTACAGTCTTAGGGGTAGGATATGTAAGCAGGTTGAATTCGAATCAAATCTCACTCGAAAAGATCCATTAATCCAATCTGTCTAAGTTTTATTTATTTATTAATTTTTTTAAGAAAAGTTAATCTTGAAAGAGAGAGGCAAACAATGATTAGAATATTAAGGAGGGAAAATCAAAGACAAATAAAATATAGAAGAAAAAAAGAGAAAAAAAATTTTGATCTTTATTATTTGTTAAATAAAAAACAATAGTGTAAAAATAGGGAGAGGGAAAAGGAAAAAGAGAAAATAATTATGAACATTTTGATAATATTTAAATACTACTCCACTATTCCTTTTTTAGGATGTTCTAAATTAGTTGTCTAATTTGACAAGTCAAACAAAAAAAATAGTATTTTTTTTAGGATGTTCTAAATTAATTGTCTAATTTGACAAGTCAAACAAAAAAAAATAGTATTTTTTCATAATTAGCTTTTTAGTTTTCAAAAATTCTCAACTTGGTAACATACACATTTTTAAATTTAAAAAAATAACTTCATAATTTTCAAAAGGGACAGTGCATTCACTGTTCGTTCCCTTTTATAATATCAAAAGTGAACAACTAATATGAGAAGAGGGATTATGTATGACATTACACCAGTGTTCAAATTTCTCCCTTACAGTATAAAATGCTCTTTAATACCAACTACCCTTTTAAACTTTCCAAACTGCCCCTCAATCATATCTCCCTCAATTCTACATAAAATACCCCAATTTCATTAACGGCTCTCTCTGTCCCAAGTATATAAATTTTATTTCTTTAATGCTAATAATAATAAATAATAATAAAGTTAATTTTTCTTTTTAAAAAAATTCTACTTATATCCTAATGTGTATCATAGACTCTCAGATTGTCCATGTATGAGATGTTGTGTCGTGTGTGTATATATACAATAATATTTTATTTTGTAGTAATAATAACATTTTCTAAAACATAAAAGTGATTTACATATTATGTTAATAATTTATTTTCCCACATTCACCTGATCAAACAATTAAAAATTAATTTATCAAAAATGAAATAAAATTAAATATCAATAAGATGAATATATATATATATATATATATATATATATATATACACACACACTTAAATTTTTATACCTAATATATATTATTTAAGAATGAAATCATTGGTCAAGTATCAGGGTTTGCCATATGCGTAAAAGAAAATAGTCTATTTCGTATGAAAAATATATAATATTTTTATATTTATTTATATACCTGTGTTGTTCGATAAATTTAAAAATTAAGTATTCATACAAATAAAATTATTGTCCCTTAAAGTTGTATTAAATATTTATGTACAAGTGTTAGATTGAATTATTAAATTACACTTGAATTGAAAAAGGGTTTCGTTTACAAAACGTTTGCTTTCATTGTTACGCCATCTCTCTTTCTAGATTAATGAAAACTAAACAACAATTAACTGTCATTGTCAATTGATTTGTTTTTACTTTATGGCAAGTAAAATTAACTTTGAAATTTGATCAACATGGAACGTCAAGAGAGAAAAGTCCTCAAAATGGGGCGTCAAAAAAGAAAAGTCATGAGAGTCAGTGATGACTTCAACAGTACCATTGTTTTCCTCATTCTCGGCTTTCTTTTGTCTTTTTCTAGTTTTAAATCATTCTTGTAATGATCAATAATTAAGTGATTCTTTTACTAAGTACGTGTATCATAGAGTCGATATCCGTGTTATAAAATATATATATATAAATTTCCAAGCCAATTACAACAAATCCTCTAAATTACAAAAATAAATAAATAAATAAATTTATTAATTATACATTTTTGTCACAGAAATCCCGTTTAAAATGATCTTGTGACCACACCAAACCCACAATATTTGATTTATTAACTATAATACCCTTGAAAGTATAAAAAGACTCAATTACCCCTACTGTGACCATTACATCCAAACAGCACTTTAAACCACTCTCACACCCAAACACACCAGCATATACTGTTACACTCAAAACACACCATTATACACTATTCATCTTCTTCTTCACAAGGCATGCCTTGTGATAAAATAAAATAAAATACATCTTACCGGAATGGACCCTTATATCTTATTTGGGTCTGTTGTGCTATATATATACACACACACTTTTGGCCGGGGCTGCTATTAACTGTTCTCTCCGGCGGGTTTTCTCTTCTAAAGCCATTTGATCTAAAATGCAAAATCGAGGAACTGCATATCCTCATGTCACATGACACATCTCTCTCTCTCTCTATCGAAGAAAAAAAAAAAAAAAAAAAAAAAAAAAAGAAAACCCCAAATCTTAGAAAATACTGGCCTTGCCGGAGAAGAAACACTACTTCTGTTCAAACCTAGCAATAGATCGATTTAGAGAGAGATTATAACTAAAAGATATTGTTGCAAACTCGGTTAATCCAGAAATTGTCAATGTAGACTAATATTGAACATGAATTTAATAACATAATTTTATAAGTAAATTTTTTTTTAATGGGTTTAAAAGGGGAGCTAATATTATTATTAAAATATTTTTTAAAACAAAATTGGCTGAACATATTATACTAAAAAAAAAAAAATTTTTGGGGGGAGGGGTCAAGCCCACCCAAGCCCTCCTCTGTGTCTGCCTCTGTGCAAACTTAAAGAGACAATCTTGTGGAGGGAGAGAGAGTTAAAGTTTGACGCACCGCAAAGAATAACATTAGGACTAGGGATGGCAATTTATCCCGTGAGAATGGGTATTCGCTTCACCATCCGTTTAGCTTATTTGGGTGGCAATAATTTTTTATAGTAAAAACTTGTGGGATTCGAAGGAGGTCACCTCACCCGTCTCACCCCATTTTGGTATGTAAATAACTAAATTATTTTTATTTTATTAGTATATATAGTTAATTCTAAAAATTATATGTAAGATTCACTCACTTTTCTAGTTGTTTTGTAAACTAGCAGAGCCCTACGAACTAAGAACATTAATATCCTTGAATTTTATGTTAAATTATTTATTGTTTATTAGTTTCATGAATTTCTTCAATAGTTATATAATTATATTCTTAGAAAATAAATTTAAAAAGAGGAGAAATTCTTGATCTAAACGGGCAGGGCGTACTGGCGAGAGTAAAAAAAGTTAAAACGGGAGCACGGATGGGATGGAAAGGCTCCGTTTAGACAATTTTGGGCTAGAACAAGGCGAAAATTTCTAAATAGTTACGGGAACGGAAGAGGGTACACCCGCTCAAAATCGTTCCCGTTACCATCCTTAATTGGAACTATTTGCTTTTGTTCCTTTTTTATAAAATAAAATAAAAAAAAAAAAAAATTTATACATATTTCTGATTTTTTTTTATATGGCTTTGTTGTCAATATTCCATCGGCTATGTCAGTTTAAACAGGGGTACATGTGTCTTTTAATTTTTTCGGGCAAATCAGTTGCCGAATTGTCCTTGAATGCAACCAATTAAAAGTTTAGGGGGTTTATGTAGTTCATGGAATTTTCTTGTTTTTACATTTTAACTTATATATTATTATTGATGCAAAATTTTGCAACCATCAGAAACGACATGTCTTAAAAAAAGAAAGATAAATGATCGAAAGGACACCGGTGTAATTATATATATATATATATATATACACACACATATACATAGTACCCAATAATGATATCATGTTTTTAAACACTAGAGTTAGGTCGAACCCTCCTGTCCCCCACTTACTAAATGGTCAAACCAGTGAAAGAAAAAAAAAGAAAAGGAATTATAAAACTTTTTTCTTTTCTTTATAAAATTGTTGTTGATGGATTCACGTTTTTTTTGGACACATGCAATGATGTGTTCATTTGTAATCAACAGTGAGAATTGATCATCTCTAATCGTTTGTACGGAATGAGTAGATGTTGCTTTAGCTTTTGG